AGTCGTCCAACAATGGTCCACCAGTGCAGTTTTTGATCTTGTGGCATGTGTTGCCTTCTCCACGTCTCTTTTGTGCTATTTGAGGCGGGTACTCCGTTTGCGGCCAGTTTCTCCGATGTAACACTTGGCACAGTCCTGACAGTTCACTTTGTATACAATACCACTTTGAGATTCAGGAGGAGTTGGATCTCTTGGCTTCGAAACGAGGTCACGTAATTTTATATATAACCCCTCCTGAATCTCAAAGTGGTATTGTATACAAAGTGAACTGTCAAGGCTATGACAAGTGTTACATCGGAGAAACTGGCCGCAAACGGAGTACCCGCCTCAAAGAGCACAATAGGGACGTGGAAAAGCCAACACATCCCACAAGATCAAAAACTGAACTGGTGGACCATTTTTGGACGACTGGTCACATTTTTGACCTTGCGAACGCTGTGATTCTGGCACGCGAACAACGGTGGGGCCCCAGAAGATTTCTGGAATCATGGTGTATTCGCAGTGACCCATCCGCCTGCAATTCTAACCCCGGCCCCCTCTCCGACGTATACACCGACATCCTAAAATAACTTCTCATATAACTTCCCATCCACGACGGACGTAAAAGAAGTTGAAGCGAGTGCAGACGATGACAATGTCTCCCGTATGCCATGGACGAAGAAGTCGGCAGAACCAGCGCTACGGATGAAGAGAAGGAAGAAGAAGCGTTGGATTGCTGGTAGCTAGCCGGGTGTTCCCAGGCCGCACTGATGATGTCTCCCGTATAGGAGACGAAACGTCTGATAAATTGTTGGTATTGTTATACAAGTCGGAGGTATTTGTTTTTAAGCATGAATCCCGGCTTTTGGAACATTTTTGCAAGTTTTGAATCGTGCAAATATCATTTATTAAATCTTCTAGCTATATCAATTGTTCGGCTCAAAGCTGGCAGTGTGTAGGCTTTTCTTGCGGGGCTTGCCCTTCGAATGCAAAAAAGAAATCCTCCAGTGACAAAAAAAAAAAATAAATAAATAAAGCGTACTAAGAGTGATATGCATATATGTATGCATTTCGAAATTGAAAATGGGCGTTCTCCATGCCGAAATAATTTTTTGTATAGGATTGGCATTTTGCTTTTATTAACACCGAGCAATTAGACATGAGGAAGATACATAGAAAGGGGGACGGACAACGAAGACTTCCAACTAGCAACAACATTTATTGACCCGAAGTTTGCATATATAGGTGAAGGAGGGGAGGGTGAAAGACGCTACACTGGAAAGTGGGAAAGCGATGGGAGAGGGTGTAGAGCCAGGGAAATGAGGGACGATCCCGTGGGGTAGACATCTAATCGCTTGGAACCGCGGAAACGAGGGATGTCAGCTCTGGCCCCAGGAAGTTTATCTCCCTCCTGGATAAGCCTATGGACGGGGATCCGAAGTTGCTGTGACTGTGGTGCATGGCGAAGGCCTCCATGATCTCTCGTCCGTATCTTGAGGCGTGACCTCCAATCCTGGTGGTCGAGGGAAGGTCGGCCGAACAGGGTTCGCTGCACTCAGAGGTGTGTTTGGCAATCGGGTGGTAACAAATCTCCGAAGTGTCGGAAGCGGCTTTCTTGATCTCGTTTGCATGTTCCCTCACCCGATCGTTGAGGCATGGGCCCGTCTGTCCGATGTATTTAGCACCGCAGGACATGGGAATCGAATACACGCACTCTTTGCAGCAGGTTACATAATTGGTCGGGTGCTTTTTCTGGCACGGGGGCGCTGGACCGGGGTTGTTGACCTTTCTACAAATAGAAGCTAATTTGAACTTACAGGAAAATACAACGTTGGTGTTGAAGCCGAGCGCAATAGATTTCAGGCGATGGGAGGTGTTGTGTATGTAGCGGATGCATGCGAAGCGTGACTTAGGAGGGAGGGGTTTGGACTTCTGCCCCGCGACAAGTCTTTTGATTGTTGTTTCAATCAGGTCTCTCCGGTATCCTGCCTTTATGAGGCGACTAATCTGCTTGGATAGGCTGGTGGCGGAAAGGTGCTGACAGGATTTAACCTTTGCCGAAGCAATTAGATTTCGAACGATCCCATTTTTTACATTCCTTGAGTGTAAGCTGTTGAAAGGAAGAACGGGCTTAGAGGACCTCTGCTGGTGAGCCCAGCAGATACCTTTGCTAGTTGGGACCAACTTGAGATCCAGGAACTGTAAGCCCTCAGGGGAGGGGGCCTCTTTGGTGAACGTTACAACACGCTCGTTTTGTTCTTAACACCGAGCCATTCTCAACAATGAGGGTCATGGAACACTTGCGCCATCTAGAGCCGGATTAAACCCCCTAACACTTAAAGCACAATTAATTCTAACAATTAAAATTCTGGTGATGGCCCGCTTCCAAAAGAAGGACCTTTTGCAGCTCAACTTCCTCTCCAACCTGATGCATACAGGATTTTTTAGAAGCTTTATCCCATCACAGATGCAATTACACCCCTCTTAACTATTTCCGGGTGACAGCTGTCAGCTGCCAACAAAGGTTTTGCTGATTCCTTGCCGTACCTCCAGCAAAGGCACTTTTCCTTGTGCAATAGAAGGTCTAAGTACTGAATTTTGTCCTGAAGGGTACTTTCCTTCGTGAACATCAAATCCTGGAATTTGTCTAATATACAATTTTTAACCGTCTCTACCAAACCTTCCTCGAAAGCACAAATCAAAATGTCGTCTACATAGCGACGAACAACGAAAGCTCCACTCGGCAAGGACCGCAGGAACGTGTCAACGTGAATTTATTCATATCGTTAAACAAAATCTCGGACAAAACTGAGGAAATGGACGACCCGATACACACTCCCCCTTTTTGAATACAAAGAGAACAATCAAAGTCTAAAACAGCGGACTCAAAATAAAACTCCAGAATGCTCACAAAACTCTCTTCACAAATGCCAAAGGAAGAGTGAAACTTCACTAGATTATCATCACACCCCCTCCTGCCTAACAGCTCCGACTTGTTCATAGAGTATAATAGGTCCTTGATGTCTAGAGATGTCACGTCACATTATTAAATTTCTCAGAGTGTTTTAGTGGCAACGGACTGTTGAGCTCCATTCCTGTCAGCATTTTTAAATAAAAACCGACACCTTCTGCCAAGCCCCATTTTCGTTCACAACCACTCTCAAGGAAATACTACTAGCCTCATGGACCATGAGGCTGGTATTTTTAACATAAATTTTATTCTTAATGTTACTTGTGATAGTTACCCGAATCTCGATATCGGCATTGGAAATTCACACTTTTTGAGTACTGCTACCACCATCCTTTCTGCTCTTTTCATTTTTTAAATATTCGGTGTGAAAAATCTTATCAACCGCTTCAGAAGTTTCTGCCCCAAACATGTCGTTCTCCAGGACAACAAACCTTCCTGATTTGCCCGTTTGAAGCGAAGTAAGCTCCTTGTGCTCTAGCTCCTTCTTAGCATTTCTGAACGTCTTTAAATTTACACTGTCCGTCATAAGATCACGGATCTACCAACCTAGTTCAGCACTCACGTTCATGACGATCGATGGGTCGTGTCCAATCAAAGATGAGAATAGCCGAACTCGAACAATTTCTGAAGCTTACCTCATGCTCTATGCTTTGCCATCCCGCGTTTATGATTATGAGAAACACTGACGATACATAATTAGCGTCAGATCACGCGGCCGCTTCGTCTAATTACAAGTTGAGGAGGGGAAAGCTCTTTTTTGTTTCTGCATCTGCAATTTCACTGAGAGGAAAACTAATGGGTGTTTTGGTAAGCTATCACTCGGGAATTGGTTCTTAGCGGTATTTGGTGAAAGTACGAAAATTGTTGCACTATTCATTTTACATGTACATATCATTGACGTACCCAATCATGTTTTCGTTGTTGCTGAAATGCCTCAGAAATTTGTCCCTGAGAATAGAAGCATTGAAAGGATTAAAGGTGACTTATCATTCCGACATTAGATAGAGCTACAAGTGCGTACGGAAGGGATTTCCCGAAAAAAAAAGACAAGTTACCTTGTATTCCGGAGAACAAAATATTGTGCAGCTCAAAAGCTATATCTTCAACGCGATTTTTCGACAGTCTCGACACGGAAACCGTGTTTGTTTCTACTTCCGGAGCAAAATAGTGTATGTCTATTGCCTGATTTCACTTGCATAAATACTAATTCATAATCCTCAATTTTCAGATGCGGTGCTTTAAATATGTTAGTTTTTTTTTCAATTCCTGGAAGATTAATAATGAATTACCTGATCAAAAATAAAATAGGCTTAGTAGGTGACCTGTATGCATTGATTTGTTGGTTAATAAATCTACGAAAGCAGTATTCTTGGAAAACATTCAGCCAAACGGATGTATAATAAGACTCGTATAACCGAATGCACACAAACTTTGATTAATATCTGTGTAAAAGAGTGCCAAACTATAACGTTTTTTTTTTGTTTTGTTTTTTTGCTGGAGTACTAACTGGATACTTGAAGGACCCTTTACCGTTATTTTGCTTTCTTCCATCAAACGATTCCCAACACAAGATCAAACGCTACTGAACTGGCTGAATTGTACATGCACACACTGGGGTTTGACTCCTTTACGTCCAGATATACGACACAGTACACTGCCGTCCTTTCTATGCCGTGCCCCAAGATACTATTTAAATTGGTTCAGGGGCTTTGGAAGTATTTGGGATAGCTTGACACCACTGAAGAGGATTGTCCTCCCGTTCCCCCTATTTTTTTTTTTTCAGAAGAGCCTGAAACGCCCAGGGGCGACTGTCACCCCCCCCCCCCCCCCCCCTTTTTTTCCTTTTCGACACCACTGAAGTGATTTTTCTACGGGGGAAGCAAAACATGAATAAGAGTATGCATCGGTGAATGACGTTCGCATCTTTAAGTAAGCCACCCACTACCTACGCAACTAAAACACGCATCGGTCGTCATGATGTTAATTCGGTTTCATCTTATCTCAATTTTCAGGGTAAGAAAACACCGAGATCTCCGACCAAAACGTCCAGATGGCTCATTGGAAGACCTGCCGCCCACGACACGTCGTGTTACTATGGCTCGTCGCAACTTTCCTCCTGTTGTTACTCCTGGACAAATCGGGCGTCTTCGAACGCCTGCGGGAGACGCCCTACAGGTACTACTCGTACCCTCCAGAAATCGATGTCAAACACCTCCTGAGGTCACTAAAAACGGGCAGTAAACCGGCTTATAGGGTTCAGAATTACTACGAGCGGTATGTTTTCAAGATCCACAACGAACTCAAGTGTCGCGTTCCAAGGAACCGACTGTTCATACTGATCGTCGTCAAGTCTGCCATAGCCCACCAGTCAAGTCGAGACACGATCCGCCAGACCTGGGGACAAGAGGACCGCTTCGAGGACGTAAGCCTTCGACGCGTGTTTATAGTTGGCGTGAAAGCCAACGATGAAACCACACAGAGAGCCTTAGAAGACGAGCATGCCCTTCACGGCGACCTGGTACAGGCAGACTTTATCGATAGCTACTACAACAACACCTTCAAGACGATGCTGGCCTTTCGTTGGGTCCTAGAACACTGTTTCAACGTTCAGTGGGTATTTTTCGTGGACGACGACTCCTACGTATCTGCGAAGAACCTCGTCCAGTTCCTGCGAAGTTCAATGAACTGGACAGATCGGCACTTGGTGGGCTATATCCACGACGACGCGCCGCCGTACAGGGCCCACTGGAGCAAGTGGTACGTGTCCTTGTCCGAATACCCCTTCAGCCGGTACCCTCCGTTCGCGGTCGGTTGCTTGTACGTGGTTTCGATGCCTGCGCTCATGGAACTCTACCAGGTTGCCCGGTACACGCGGCAGTATCGTTTCGACGACGTATTTCTGGGAATCGTGGCAAGAAAGAGTGGACTACGGCCGCGGCACAGTGACAAGTTTCGTGACAAAAACCCAGCCAAAAGGCCGGAAGATTTTGTCGGGCTCGTTGCCTCTCATGGATTCCGAGACAGTGATCACCTGACTCGAGTCTGGGAGCATCAGAAACGCTTGGGACATGCGTGAGACAGTTGTTCAGTTCTCGTAGGAGAGGAGCAGCAAAGCCGAGCGAGTATTTATTATTAGCTGTTGATCAACTGCTTATAACGATTTAAGTCAAAGTTGCGACAAATAATTTATGGCATGTCACCATAACCTGTGTCGGTTCTGGTGCTAAACCATATAGTGGTCATTTCACATTGTTCAATGATGGTGCTCTACGCGAATGAATTGAGTTTTTACAGCGGAGCTGTTAAGAGCTAGTTTCCCGAGTTTCGTGTCCGCCAGCAAACAAATGACGACACAAAACTTTGGACAGTTATCGCCGTCGCCTATAGATGGTGGATACCTTTCCAGCCTTTCCACTCTGATTTGCCGACTTGCGGCCGTCCATTACTTCATTCCCACCATAGTATAGCTTCACTGATCTTCCTTCTTCACCAGAGTGGAAAGGCTGAAAGTTCTTTAACTATTATTATCACTGGCTAGAACATTTAGCACCATGTGTTCATACCTCAGGCGCTAGCGATTGTTTAACTAAATTATATGTAAATAGTTAAGACTAAGTTTCTTTAGTTGTTTATTGTCAACACCGTAGAACATAATGTTGGGGCAAAAATAGGCCACTGTGAGCTATATATTCTTGGTAAAATTATATTTAAAAAAGCAAATCTTGACGTAGCTGACATCGTTATTGTCCAAATTTTACATTAAAAAGAATTTAACATGTTTATTTTTTGTTTTGTGCTCCCTTCTACCTCATTGAAGTTCAAAATGAATTGACGGGGAATTCACCACTGTTGTATACGGCAGATTGAATGTACTTAATTTTTTCTTCACTGGTCAGCGAGGTCCAGAAACCTTTCAGATTTACTTTCATGACATTTTTTGACACTTGAATATTAGACGTTGAGAAGGGAGTAACTGATATATTACCCAATATCTTTGAAAAACTTGCAATGAAGGGGAGGTCAAGGAACGTTGACAACATCTCAATGAGCGTTCTTTTACAACAATTAAAATTAATTCATTTTGCCTATAAATTCTCGCACAAGATAAATTGGCACTAAATCCCTAATTTACAAAGATAAAGCTTCTGGCAAATATTCCTAGCATGCCCATTCTAAGACATATTTAATAGGAATAGTGTGGGTGGAGCTGAATTTTTTTGCATGTAAACACATAAGGACCATTGTTCAGGTGGGTGGGTATCATGTAACCTTCTCTAAAATCTGCATTTAATCTCTTGGGCGTTTTCTGACATCCTCGTCTATCCAAGGATTGGGTTCACTTCTGTTATGTCCATTGACAGTTTAAGAAACGCAGCTGGGCAGAGCGAATGCCAAGCATATTATTATCATTCCCCAGCCAATACATGCCTGAATCTGTCAATAATCACCCCGAAGATGGAATCACGAAACAAAAAGCAAAAAGCTCATTCATATGAGGTCACGCGCCTGCTTTTTTACGCTGCTATCAACATTCTTATTGGTTTTCTTTGAAAACCCGCATGGGATATTAGTGACCGTTCTTCTTTTTCTTTTCGTGAGAGACCTATCGAACATTGATGTGCCCGTTTAATACCTCGTAACTAAATTATTGAGTCGCTTCAACCAGCCATTGAACTATCCCAGTTTTGCTTTCAAATTGAACTGTCGGCATCATCCGTCGCAGTTTCAACTTCCAATAATCTTAGAGACATATCCCTTATGGTCGCTGAAAACCTATAAAAAGTGTAGGGCATGGCGAATTTCCAGTCATCTCATAATCTCGCCGCAGACAATAAGAATGTGGCATTAGCGAATAAGAACGCTAAAGGACGAATTACGAGCTTAACTAGCGTTAACGTAATAGGCCACACCCTGCGCTTTTGGTGTTCCATGTGACTATGAACGCAAGTAACCAGAAATCAGTGAGGTGGATTCCTTATGCTGCCTGGAGCAAGCGTCCGACTGGTGTGTTCAGCCAACACCACCTAGATGGAAAGCCGCAGCGCTTCCCTCTCTCCCTTCAAGGAGCGTCGGCGTGAGTAGGCTGAACTGGTAGTGCGCTTCTCCGCAAGGCTCCCCTTGACAGTTGGCTTCTTTGCAATGCACGTTCTCTTTTACTTTTTCTTTCCCTCTACGCTTGCACGCTTGACGCGGCGCAAACAAAAAAACAAAAAAGGCGCCACAGCGTCGCGTTTTTTTTTCTTCTTTTTTCTTTTTCTCCCCAACGGTCGTCTGTCGCGTTCCTTCCTTCGACGGCTTTTTTAGCTACTCCTGCGACTCTGCGAATTGGGTCACGTGACAATAAGGCTGGAGGAATCAACTAGAACAACTCTAGAAACGAGTAGGTTTTTGGACGCCGAGGGTCGGAAGTTCAACTCTCGAGTAAGATCGAGCACATTTTGGAATACAACACAACTGCGGCCTGTTGTGTGAACGTTATGGTGAACGAGAACGTTGCTTTTCGATTGTGGTAGCTGTCATTCCGTAGAGATGTTGTTTATCCGCGCGTTATGACGAAAAGCTGGATGTAAAAGTGTCCATATTTGAGTTTCTGCAAGGGTGACTACGAAAGCGTGGACTACACAGCGAATCGATGGGAAGATCTCGCTGCTTGACGGCATGGCAGGGTGAGAACTTTTTTACTTTTATGATCGTGGTTTCGTTTCTTGTTTTTACTTTTCGCTGCATGCATGCTTGGGAGTGATTTGGTTGCGGCCTGGAAGCAACATGTTCAAATGCTGGCGCTACTTGTAGGTACAGAACTAAATAGAAATGACTTGATTTATGAGTTCAGGTTGGAATGTTTTCGCAAGGTATGCAAGTGATAGGTTATCGCGGTTGCAACCAACACATCAATTAAAAAAAAAAAAATCCCAGAAGTACATTGTGTCGTTTCTGCGTATCCTCATCGGAGCGCAGAAATGATCCGCTAAAACTAACTAGTACGATCTATATTTTAGCGGGTCTCTGAGCTGTAGTTTGGTGTGCACGCAAGCCGGAATATGGTTCATTGATCAGTTTACTTATCCATACACCAGAGCCATATACTAACACCCAATTTAGTTGGAGCCCCTACAGGCTCCCCAAGGAATCTCACCAACACCCAATTTAGTTGGAGCCCCTACAGGCTCCCCAAGAAATCTCACCACAAACCAGGAAGCTATTATATTATTATTATTATTATTTATTATTATTTTCTCTGCCTGGTTTTATGTGCTCGTGCAATAAGCATTATTATTATTATTATAGCGCATTGGGAGCATCAAATTCAAGAATAATTTTGATGTTTGTGATCCAAAATACCAGATCGAAACACTGCCAGTGTTTTTTTATTATTATATTATATTATTCTATTATATTATTATTATTATATTATTATTATTATTATTATTTATTATTTTCTCTGCCTGGTTTTATGTGCTCGTGCAATAAGCATTATTATTATTATTATTATAGCGCATTCGGAACATCAAATTCAAGAATCATTTTGATGTTTGTGATCCAAAATACCAGATCGAAACACTGCCAGTGTTTTTTTCTCAAATACGGAACCACTTCAGCTTAAGGAAGAGCATTTTTTTATAATAATTTTTGATTACATTACCTTTCTTTGGATTAATATGATTTCCTCCTTTTTCGTTCTATTTCCCACAGAAGCGGTCAAATACACGTCCCGGATACTGCTTTGATGAACTCGGGCTTCTGCACGGCCTCCATGGGACAAGGTGAAAACTGGCACCTTAGAAGAGTGCTTCGGAATGTATAGGCAACTGGCTTGCTTCTAATATCACGTGTCTACAAGGCATATTTACGAAGATGAAAACAAAACACTGCTGTGGAGCACAATGTCAACGATCACTACAGCTAGCAAGGATGGAAACGAGAAAGATCTTCCCAAGCGAGCGGATTCTTGACGCCCCACCTGCAACGTGGTATACATGCAATGTGACCCTAGGCTGTAAAAAATAAGACACAGCCTCCCAGCCTTGGGCTATGTGGCCAGCCGTGCAGTCTACACCACCTTGAAAAACCTAAGGGGCGAAAAATGCAAGGCCGCATCGACAGCACGAAACAAGTTGGCTACAGTTTGCTTGCACAGGAAGACTGTGCTGGTGTAAGTGCTGTAGAACACATTTATGCTGTTCACCAATTGGTGATGCCCGGCCAGTGCTGACTTGTTACATATCTCATAATGGAACTACTCGCCAAGAAAAAAGACTTCCCACTGTGAAAATTAACGTACGAGTGAGCTCATTTTAAAACATGTGTTGTTGTCGCGAGAAAATGCCCAAGCATTTTCTTGTGACATGTTTGCAGCAAAATGAATGTTCACATTGATGCCAAGAATTCCAAACAAAAGAAACGGACAGCTGAAACTCTGCAATGAAAGACACTCGCTGCCAACCGTCACGGATGTCAAGAAGCAAACTCAGACCAAGGAAGAGTATGTCTGACGCCTGGGGTGATGAACCCATCGTGAGTTCGAGCTGAAGCATGCGTTGGACTGCAGTGAAAACATTCAACTGAGAAACCTTTTGTAGCAAGGTGACAAAAATATAAATGCCAGTGCAGCATCTAAAAAAAAAAAAAAAAAAGCTAAGGGGCCAAGGCTGAACAAATTAGTTCCTGTCCGGCCAGCAACATGCTTGCGCTTCATACTCATGCAAAGGCAACTGCTCTCTGAAGTTGGTGAATCTGTGTGTGTGTGTGTGTGCGTGTGCAGATAGTCGGTGTCCTTCTAGCAGTCTTGGGTATCTTGTGGTGCTACACCGTAAATGCCAACATGCTGCACAGCTATTGTGTGTCTCGGTGTCACAAAATCTACAGCATCTAAGATGCACGTGTATAAATTTTTTTCAAGACGGATATTTTCAGAGCCTATTGATACCAGGAGGCTTGTTTCGCAGTGTTCAAAGGTGACCAGTTTCTTATTTATGACTCTTCTGTATTGTAAATTCAAGCAACTTTGAATATGAGGATCCCATGCCCACTTCTGTTTGTGTACAAAACTTGTTTTTAGCCGCCCTAACTGTGTCG